ATAGTTTTATTATATAGTTTGACTTAAATAGATTTATCCTTAACCAATAGAGATTTTTATCTATTTGAATATAATAGTTTTAAATTTGTTATAAGATTTGTTTTTTTCTTATTATATTTAATATAGTTTAATTTAAGAAAATAATAAAATATGTTTGTTATTTCTTATAGGTTTTAAAAAAAGTTGCTTAAGATTATAGTATTATTTATATACTGTATATTGCAATTATAATAATATCAACCTTAAGCTTTAATTTTAGGTAAGTTATATAACAGTATTTGTTCTTAGTATAAGATTTAAAAATATAACATAATATATTTAAGAAGAATATTAAATATATATTATTATTGGCTGTTATTCTAGATTTGCTTGTTATAATAACTTTGTCATTAATTTTATTTGATAAATAATTATTTGTTGAAATTTTTGTTTTTGTATAATAATAGATTGCTCTTTCATTTTTTATAAAGTTGATAATTTTATTAAGTTTGCCTTTTTTATTAAGGTCTCTAATATTAAGTATTAAAATTGTAAAAAGATATTTAGAGCTCTGAAAAATATTAAATTGGTACCAAACAGTATTAAAATAGTACCAATCTATAATAAATTTAATATATGAGTTGTAACCTATTTATATAATTTTATAGTAAATTTAAATATCAAATTGATATTGAAATGATATTGTTAGGAGCCTTAGAGATTTTAATATAAGTAATTATTTTTGAAGATAAATCAAAATTTAAGATATATATTTATTATCCTAAAATTATAATACTGAATTTTAAATTATATAATTAATTTTATTCTGAGTTTTAATTTTTGTTATTAATTTTTTAAAATTTGATTTTTTAATTAAAATAGATATATATTTAAAATCATAATTTTATTTAATAAAAAAGTATTTATTTAAAAACTTAGGTTCTGAATATTCATATAAAAAAAAGTTTGTTAAAATAAAATTATTAGTTATTAAAAAAATTATATAATAAAATTGGCACTTATTTAAATTAAAAATATTAATTTTAATTTTAGCAATAAACAATTTTTTATTGTTTTTAAAAAATCCAATAATAAATCCTTTAATTTAAAAAATATTAAATATATATTTCTATTTCAAAACTTAAAATTAATAAAAAAATATTTAAACTTATTATTTATAAAATTCAAGATTGTCAACCTGTGGGTCTATAGCACAGTGGTTGGTGTTCTACAGGTCAGATCACAAAATACCAGTTCAACTCCATATGAAGGCAGTTGAATAGTATTAATATGGTATCTGACACTGTAATCTGATATGCGCTGTTTCTTATGGAAAGCCAGTTCACATACTAATCTAATAGGTATTGAGATTGTGACCTTCGTAAAAGGTGTAGTGGCATGACAATCGTTAGGATGGTGACATGATAATTGTCAGCGTAGCCGGAAATCCATCCACATATTTGAATATACAGACTGGGCTGTATTTCATCTTAACCAATCCCAAGCTACGAAATCCTTTTCTGCTAGCAATCGAAAAGTAAAAAGCCTTGAAGAAAACTCCATACCAACACTAATGTATGGTCATCCTCATGGCAGTCCTAAGGCAAATCCAAAAAAGACACTCCTCTGAAACCATAATTGCATGAGCGAAAAGGTGTAATGTAATAGGTAACCTACTTAAAATAGTTAGCAGGTCCATTGTTTCTACTTATAGTTGGACTAGTAGGTATGATAGTTTAAAACTAGTGGTAGGATTTTCACCTTCTAGATAGTCCCCCTAAAAATAATATGATGCATCTCAAGGGTGAACAGCATGTTGACAGGTACAAAAGTAGATAAGCTAGTATTTAACTATAGTTATAGCATTATAGAGGATGTTTGATATGATAAAATTTGTAATTTTAAGAATAAGCAATAAAACTCAGCATCTAATTCCATTCTACTATAAAAAAAAAATAAAATAAAATAAAATAAAATTCAAGATTGTCAACTTCTTTTTATCAACCTGTAATATTTTCTTTTTCTTTAAAAAATACCAATTTTAATTTTAATTCTTCTTTAATATATTATTTAGAAAAGTCAAAAAAAAACAATTTATAATGAATTAAAATTACAAAATTCTAATCTAAGATTAAGTTTTGGTAAATTTTATAAATTTTGTTCTAAAAATTTCAAAAAAACATAAAAAAAAACTAATATGTATTCAATTTGTATTAAAAAAGAAAATTCAAAAAAAATTACAAAAACCAATCCAAATAATACTTCTCTTATTACTTACTTGCAAAATGAAATTAATTTTTATAATAAATATTTTTATTTTAAAAACCAACAACAAAAATTTTATAAAATTTTTTTTAAATTAGTAACTATATTCTGTATTATAGTTATGGATTTTAAAGAAAATTTTAAAATTGATGATGAACCAATTGAAACTGCAAGAAATTTTTATGAAAAATCACAAATTTTTTTATTAGAATTTGAAATTATTTATAAAGATAATAATAATATAATTTAAATACAATATTTTGATTTTTTTTTTCAAAAATCTTAAATCTTAACTTATTATTTGTTATTGATTGTATCAAAAAACTTCTTGCTAATACAATTTAATAAATTTTGTTTTTGATCTAATTCTGAATCCTATTTTTACTTAACAGAATTAATGTATTTTATTTTTAATTATTTATTATTAATTTATAACAAAAAATTTTTTTAATTATTTTGTTAAATATCATAATAAAAATATTGTTAATAGCTATTTTGGTATATTTTTAAAATAGTTTAAAGAAGATAAATTAATACAATACATTTATATCATTAAAGAATTAATTATTTATTTTAAAAACAAAAAACAAAATTATAATAATTATATCTATTCATATACAAAATCAAAAAAATTTATTAACAAATTAATGATAAATAATTTTTATTCATACTTATTATTTATAAAATTTAATAACAAATTATATGTTTCTACACTTAATACATTTAATATTATTAATTACAAGAAAATATTATTTAAAATTAAAAAAATAAAAGATATACAGTAAGAAAAACAAAATATACTATATCTAAAGAAACAACAAATGATATTTTAACAATAATAAAAGATATAAATAAACAAAGATTATTAATTAGAACAGAAAATATATTTAATTATTATATTTTAATGGAATTTTAAATTCTTCTTTGAATATGTGCTTGAAATTAATTTTTAATTTTTTTTTAAAAATATTTTTTATATAATTTTTTTTTAAATATTTATCAAAATCCAATAAAATATATATTATTAAAAAGCTTATGATTTAAGGAATCCAATAGTAATAAAATCACAAAATTTTAATTATTGATTATTAAAATATTGTTATTTAAATATTAATATTTTTTAAAGTTTTTGTAGATTAATATCTCCATCAATATTAATTTAAATTGGATAAAAATATTGTGATTTAATAATCAACATGTTGAATTATTAATATTTAAAATTTTTTTAATTCTAATTATTGGTTATCGAGATAATTAGATTAAAATTTTAAATTAATTTCAAGTACATGTATAATAATATAAGGTAAAACCCAAAGTATAGGTAATAGCTATATATGGTTTTGGATCTATCTATTTTCCTTCCATGCAAACTTTACCTTATATTATTATATTTATTATTATTTTATATTATTTTTAATTAAAATAATTATTATTATTAAAAAAAATAATAAAATAGTTATTAAAAAAATAAAATAAAATATTATTGTATTAGTTTATTTTAAGGTTTCTATTATAAGTTATATATTATATAATTTTGAATTTTCACTATTACTTTTAAATTAATAATAAAGCAGCTTGAAAGATAATGAATTAAACACATATAAATTTAGAAAATTATTATTATCTAAATCACTTTTATTAAAAATACTGTATATTCGAGTAAAACATATACTGTAATTATTGTAAATATATTAAGAAAAATTTGAATGAAAATAGATAATATTTAGATTTGATGGTTGTGAATTTTGGATTATTAAAAATTTAAAATAATATTTAAGAAAATTTTCTTTTGAAATTGCTTTATAAAGTCTGTACTGGAATTAGGATATAACATAAAAATAGTTAAGGCTTAGAAGTAATTTGATTTGATTTGAATCTTACAAAATTTAACAAAATTTCTCTAAACACTATTTAAAGTAATATATAAATGCTATATAATCAATAAACACTATAAACACTATATAATTAATAAACGCTACCTAACCTATTTTAATTAATTCATGCTATTTTCGTCTTAAGCTATTTTTCTTGGATCTCGTTACTCATTTCCGAATTATCGGTACGTTCGTCGCGTCACGTTGTCCGTCCGTCACTTAATTTTTCCCATCACAGCATGTAATATATATTATGCCAATTCATTGATTATAGATGATCGATTCAATCCATCCGATATATACACATATGGAACTTTGTGTATACAGCATATACACATATTTATTATTATAATTAGAATAACATGGTTTAAATTATATACTGCAGTTTAAAAATATTAATTAATTATTTGTTAGATATTTACACAATCGTTTGGCGACAGTGGAACATCGATCAGAAAATGATTATAGCCGTACCCCGAGCTTCTCCAACTTGTACCACCATCCATCACGAAATCCTTTCGTTTATTAAGGCCATTTTTATACAAAATTTAAATTTCTTGTATTATGATTATAACTTTTTGGATGACCCTCTTCATCACCAAAAAAAAACAAACAAAAGGATCGACTTATGAGTGTACTCTATTGAATATGCCATAAATTTTATGTATTGAATGCAAAGAAGAACCCTATTGTTAAAAGATTGATAGGTATTTGAGGAACAAAACAATTGTCAAAAATATAGGATTTTGAATGCAGAAATGGTGAGAGAGAGCGTATTTAGGAAATTTCCAGCGCCTTCCTCCGATGATTTATGAAAACAATGAAACCCAGTCGATGAACCCTATGCCATTAAACAAAAAAAGAAAACTAGAATGCGATAGATTACGTTCCTGTGGTGGAAAAGGTGAGTGAGGTCGAAAAACATCGCGTTAGTAAAGAAAGAAACAAACAGAAAAAAAACGAGCAAAGCGTCACACTCCATTCAAATCGACTCTCATTTTGCTTACCATACGATTGAATATGGTCCAGCCCATTCTTCACGAGATGATCACCTTTAAAGTGTAAACTGAGTAATGCCATCAACATATCCTGTGATAAAGGCAGGAAATTAAACTCAACTCGAATGAAGAGTTAATAAATCACGAAAGATTACCTGAAGCACATGTATGATAATCACGATCAATGCTACTATCATCTCCGGGTATGTCTTAAAGTCCTCAACCGCCTCTTTTGAAATGTTATGCTTGAACATTTTACGATATGTCAATCGCGTGATTGCATTACTGACAAGTTCAAATGCCCAAATGACGCAACTCGCCTGTAAGGTCAGGTCAAAGTTGAACTCATTTCCCACCTCGTTAAACTTAAAGTAGGGGTATACATCATAGTTTGGACCAAAACGTATTATCCATATCCAACAAATGAAACCCAACATTGTCGCATTTTCCGCCAAATTCCTGATGAAGAATGATCGCCCACATTGTTTTTTATATTGTTCATAGTCCTTTCGAAGTCCAACGTAATAAACGAGAAATGTGTGCATCTTGCGCGTCATGCAAATTGGATAGAATATGCATACCCACAGAGAACTAGCGGCCTGAATTAAGACGTACTGCTTCCGATTACGAAGTCTGGCGAAAAGATTGCGATAGAAGATAAAATAGATCATGTAAAAGTAAAGCTTGAAGGTGAATTGAAGAGGATAGGATTTGACCCGGGTTTCGATAATATATTCGGTGACAGTGTCGAGGATATAAACAGTTGCGAGCCAAGAATACACATAGACGAATGCGTCTATCCCAGTGTGCGCCGATGGAGTTGTCACGAACACATATGCGTAAGCCTCACCGGCAATGAATGCGCCAATCACGATGGATATGGAGACACAGAACCACAGGAATCGAACGTAAGACGAAGGTACGCGGTATTGCAATTCGCGCTCAAGAAAAGTTTTTTGAAGCTCAGTCAAAGAGTGACGGTAGGTGTTTCTATTCTGCGAACGGATGACGATGAAGGCTACCAATAGTGGCATGTTCATCGTGATGAAGGTAAGCAGAACCCATGTCAAATTAAATTTTTCCAAGCCCGTGTAAAGATAGATGAGCACCCCGAGAAAAAGCGAGGAAAGCCAAAATACACAGTATGCGAAACCCCCACCCAACCGTGCCGGCCACCAATTCAAAGAGTACAGGTCAAATATTTTTGTGATCATCAATAGTGCCACGGCGTTGTAAAATCCATAATAGAAAAATAGAAAAAACCAAAAATTAATTTCCACGGGTTTATTGTCATGTGTATCCGTGTCGTTTGAATCCGCCGAGCCCATCAAATTCACCAGAGTTTTGACATCACCGATGGGATCATTATTGGAATCATAAGTGGGAAAGGGAACAGCACACCAAGCTAGCACCTAGGGAAGAAAAACGGGAATTCGTGTGAGAACAAATCGATGACATGAGAGGATCGGTTACAACAAGGATCGCAAAAGAAATAGTCACCACTGCGACGGGAAATACGTTCAACAACAGTGCACGCTTCCAACCAACGTCCGTCCATTCGGAAACCTGCTTTCTGGTCGGCCTTATTCCACTCAGAAGGCGTGTACGTTCGTCGGGTTCCGCAGGAGAAAGTGCAGGCGGTGGTACGAAGCGTGATGAGATCGGGTGTATACGAAAACGACCGCGAGGCTGTGGGTCTGCAAAAACATCAAAAATCAAAATCGAAACTGGTTGGGGTCGCGTGGAAAGGGAAGTGCTGTTCAAATAAGTGAAAGGTCAAAGTGGCTCACCGTCACTCGGTTCTCCTCCATCGCCTCGATCTAATGGGTGATACATTATGCGCGTTTTTAGTGTAAAACGGCAACAATTTAAAGTCTCTCTCCCTATATATGAGAACTATGTGTGTGTGTATTCTTACAGAATAAGGTTAATTTAAATGTGTATTTATCCGCGAGTAAAATAAAACAAATAATTGTTTTATCAATGAATCTCTTTTAAAAAAAAAAAAAAAAAAAAGGAGAAAAGCATCGACTTTCAGGGTGTTCACATTCTGCGTGGTACGACCGCATGAGCATCTGACCATGAAAACTAAACCGGGCCAATTATAGTATTATACTTTGAGGGATTGCGATGATTGAAAATTACTTTAAGCTGACAGCAATGATTTACGTACTTGAAAACGAAAAAGGAAAAAATTAGCTACGTACGCTTTCTTAATGAATCATGGACATCGTATGAACATTGATCCAACACAGCGCATATAGTAAATCAAAGATAGCTTATCGTCCGACCTAATCGGAGAGAAGGCTGGGTTTAAATTGGATGCGCGTTGCAGATGATGTAACTGGTGGATCCTTTTTTGCGACAATACACATGTCAAAGAAGGCTATGTCAGCATCATCATACATATATAACTCGCATTGACTTTTAAAGGAGAAAGTTGAACAATGAATGCATGGAGTGACACGTTGGCAATGCGAGCCTGCAGAATTTTATTAAATCACCTAAAAAGAATGGGTGTGATGAAAAGACGTAAACGGTGTACTCCGACATACAGTATACGCACAGAACAATGTTGTGCATTACATGTGAACAGGCAGAGAAAGTGTGGAGGGTTTATTATGACTTTTATTGCCGTGGATCTTTCTCGTGACCTCTTCTTGAGGCAGCAAGAGAAAATAAGATGGTCTGCCCGTAATAGATCTCATCTTTACATGCTTGATAATCACATTGAAGATGTTATTTTTGTACAACCTGCTTCCATAAATTTAGTATTACTTCGGAATTAACCTAAGAGGATATGAATGTGGTTGGGGATGGTGAAATATAGTCTCGTACCATTGTTTACAATTATCTAGAGTTTTGGGGAATTGGCGTAAACGCTGACCGACGTTACAAGACGTGGTTAATACAGTATAATAAGAGATTCCCCAATGTTTAATCTTATCTCGAGATCGCACATACAGTAAATAATTAAGAAGATATTTAAATAAAAAAAAAAAATGCAACTTGATTTTTTTCATGCTCGGACAACATCTCTAGTGATCTTCACCAATAGTTCCAATGCTTTGTCTATGTGTTCCTCCGTTGTCCACGGACTTCCCACCGCAAACCGTATGACCTCCTGATCATGCAGTACCGTGCGCGAGAGGTAGATCTGACGCGTTTCATTTGCACGATCATACACCTTCGAGGTGAGTTGATTAGAGGAATAAGGTGTATCTGGATTAGACTTGACGTGAAAGCAAACAAGGGAAAAAGCTGGCTGTGCAGAGATGGCAAAGAGATCGGGGTGACGTAAGATTCCGTGAAAAAATCGCTGAGCCAATTTTACAGCCTGTTGAGCAAATAGATAAATAATGAACGTGGGAAATTTGAAACTGCGTGAATTGGAGTTATGTGGTAATAAGACAACATAAAAACCTTTCGAACGTGTTCCCTCAAGCCTTTGGCGCCGTAAGAACGTAAAACAAACCATATCTTCAAAGATCTGAACCGCCTGCCCACTGCATGGTGAATTACGTTATCAGAAAATAAGCATAGTATAAGAGATAGAGATGAAATACGGTCTTTCACACTCACCCGGTATTTCCCAATCGCGGTAATCTAGAACCAGTCCGCTTTCGCTAGCCGGATTTCTTAAAAACTCGGGTTTAACCGAAAGTGCATCGTTCAGGTATTTTCGATTTCTAACCCTATTTTGCGCGAAACTCCTTAAGAACTGTGCGCTCATTTTACATAGTTATTAGTAGAAAAGACTTCACATATTACCACAAGCACGAGGCGTCAAAGTTGGTCAATAGCCACTCGTGCATGTTGAAATCGAATGAATCTGATCGATTGATTCCATCAAGATAATGTCGATACTCGGGACACACTAAGGCTGAGCCAGCGTGTGCAGCGTCTACATGTAACCACACGCTCGTTCCTTCAACTAAAAGAATTTATAACGTCCGTTATTCTTCGACGTGTCATTAAAAACAGGAATTTAAATTTTATGCATACTGGCATTTGCAATGTCGGAAATGCTGTTTACTGCGGAACTTGTTGTGCCGACTGTTGTGACGATGTAAAATGGAATTAACCCATTCATAACATCGTTTTCTATCTCCAACATCACAGTCTCTCCTCGGATCGAAAAGTTTCGACCCGTCGGAATAATCCGAAAACGTGTGTTCGCTATCATCGAAGCTTTTTCGAGACGCGAATGAGTCTATTGAAATAAAATTAGTATACGCATGATGTTGGATGTGACGATTACGAAACGAAGATCCACCTGTTCAGACCCATAGGCGATGAGGCGCGTCGATAATTCGTATAATTCATCTTCGCTTAAACCTTGCGCTTTGTATTTGTTTAACAGGCGTTGTCGAGCCGCAAGCAAGGTCACCAGAGTCGCTTCGCTGGCAGAGCTTTGAATCACTCCACCGCCTTTTCCTTCACTCAGAAAATCGCTGTGCAAGCCAATCAGCTTTGCCAACCAATCAAGTACAATGGTTTCAAGTTCGGTACAGGCGGGTGAACAAATCCACTTCCGACAAATCATAATCAAATGAGTGAAAAAAGCAATGGCGCAACAAAGAAGAGGTGATGATAAAGAGCTCACGTTAAATCCTATGCAATTGAGCATGTCACTGTACATATCTGCCAATATTGTCGGAAAAGACGAGCTAGCCGGATAAAAGGCAAAAAAATTCGGACTTTGCCAGTGTGTAACTGAAGATAAAATGAGAACTCGTCAAACTCCGAGTGTGTTTCATCTACTGTAACCAATATACGAACCACCAGGTATGATTTTACTTTCCATGTCCGATTGAATTGCGTCAAAAGATTCAGGATCTACGTGTATACAGTACTGCAGATTGTTAGATTAGGTCTAAACCGATGCAAATAGTAATCATCATACCTTCGGGTGCTTCTTGGGGCAAAAGTTTTTTTAGGTATCCAGGCTCGACCTTGGGCAAAACTGACATAATAGATGTGTGTGAGATAGGAAGATTCACAACGTTCGAGCAGATTTTACAAAATATCAACCATCATAGCTGTCGAGTTCCTGATAGTATTTGCAAATTCTATCGATCGTCTCATGACCCCTTTTGCGAAACTCTTCGATGTCCATTTTGAAAATTTCTCAAGAACTCTCCCACGATGGGCTGGCATTTATAAAGACCGACTATTGCATGTCCATCATTTCTTATTTGATCTCCGCTAAGACCAGAAATATAACGCTTCCTTTCTACTCACTTAATTGGTATGAGAATTCTGATATGCATGTGATCACTCGTCAGATTAATCTTATAGATATCGATCATACATGAATTCAGACATTTTTCGATAGTAGAATATAGTAAATAATTGAGAATCATTTTGGTCAACTCCCGGATAAAAAATGTTGTACAGAATTTCTATAATTGCTTGTATTTTGTAATTCAATTAGACAAAAATAAATAATATATTTTCTTATTCTTTTTCTAAATGCAACAATATTACACGATAAATTTTCTCGAATAAACAACAATGAAACGAAATCTAGTTACAGTATACAGTATAGTTTCGGTACATGTGAGCTTCACTAGGATTGTTCTTTGATTTAGTAT